CAGTTAAAGTCTACAAACAGGCGAATATCATCAACAATTTTCAAACGGGTCGCAGATTAATTCCTAAAACGAGACAGGGCAACTATCTGTATGACCAGACACAAATTAATTTCTAAAACAAGACAGGGAAACTATCTATGGAAACTTATTGTAGATCAATTCCAGATACAGGAAGGGGCGACCATCTATATGAACCGAGCGAAGCTTAACTCCCGAAACAGGATGGGGAAACTATCTTCCTTTTTATGGTCAGATAAAGATCAATTCCTGAAACTGGACGGGGCGACTATCTTTATCACTAAATGGTATGAACTCCCGAAACAAGATAAGTTTACCAACAAAAAAGAAAGGAAGAGTGTTGTACCCCAAAATTTCCCCCCTCTTTTCTCAAGTTACTTCTCACAAAGATCTTCAATGATTCAAGTTTGCACAAGTATTGACTAGGTTAAGTCGTCTCCTCAACACTGATGCCTCAAATTAGGGTTTGAGTTTGTATAAGGACAGTTGGACTTATAATGTCTCAAATTACTTTCATGGATCATTATTGACTCTCAAAATTGTTCCTATCAAGTTTCAAGTCCTGGATCACAAAATTGTCCAGTCAATTGATTAAATGACCTAAAATCAGCTGTATTGGAAAAAAGTCAATTGTGACCAACCTACAGTCAAACTTCAAGATTTTGGACCAATATCAACATTTTTAAGTCATATGTATCATTAGATCAAGATGGGATCACAATTTTCCAAGAAAGTTGTTCAAATCATCAAAGGGGCAAAATGGTCAAATTAGGGTTTTTGATTGAGAATGACCAATCTTTTATTTTTGACCTAGTACATGGCTTATTGGTTTGAAACATGGATTTCAAGGATCCAAATACATCATTTTAACCTAATTTCATATTTCAATTCATCTCCCGAGATCAGTAGATTGATAGACGAAATTCGGTCGGCTAATGGGAAAAGTCAACTGTAAACTAAAAAGTCAAACTTTGACTTTTTGACCAAATTTGGGTTTCAAAGATCACATTTCATCAAGGCATTCAAAATGTGGAATTTGGTCATCAAAAATCAAGAAAGTTAAGAGTCATTTTGGAAAGTCAAGCTTTGTAAGACTTAGAAAATTTACTAAGTATTTGTATACTTGTTAATCTCATTGCTTCATGACATCTTTTTATTACAATTCAGAATAATTCAAGATGTTACAAATAATTCAAATTAGTACAAGGTTGCATTTTTTTTCAAATTACAAATCCTAAAGCTCTTTGTCTTGTTTGAATTTTTCCTATGACTCAATCTCCAAAACCTTGCCATAATGTTGTCCACAAAACTAGACTTGTATCATGCTACAAATAATGCTATCAAGAAAAGCCCCAAAATGTGATATGCTTCCAAGTCCAAACTTGTTTCTACAGGCCCAAAACTATGTTATAAAATAGTTTGTTGTCCTTCTATAAAACATCCCTGCACTAAGCTGCCACTCCACTCCAAAACTGCTACAAAACGGTCCTGATATGTTGACTCCAACCCTGCCCAAACCTGTACTATATCAGTCCCATATTTGCACAAAATTAGCACATAAGAGATGCATCTAAAAGGCAGTGGAATAATATACCCAAACAGTTAAAAAACTTATTTGTTTCCCTCCTAAATCTCATCCAGTTTCATCTACAAATAAACTGATTTCATAACACACAAAGTGTTGGCTTTTAGAGAGAGAATAGAAAGTTTTGAAAAACCTAACAGAACTTTTCTTGTAACTTCTTCTCATCTCCAGCTCTATCTTCATTCACAAAAAACCTCTGCTTACCCTCAACTCTATTTTCATTCACAAAACAGAAATAACCCTAACCTATTGTCCAACCTTTGCAAGCCTTCCCCTAAACCAACCAGTAAACACTTCACATCACATAGAGATTGTTCAAACACAAGAACAGTTTCTGTAGTGCCATTATCTTCACCTTCCAAACACAAAAAAAAAATAGTATTGTATAACTTGATTGGGTTGGTGTGATTCAATAGCTTCGAACAACTTCCTGGAGATTCACTGAGGCCCTCAAAACATATTGAAAAGTAATCAGACTCAAAACAAAAAGTGCAGTCTCAAGGTAAGTCTTCTTGACTTTGTATTTTTCATACATCACTAATGATTCATTTTTGAAGATAAAATATAGTAATCTTTGTCCTTGAAGCTAATCACATGCTTATTGTTCATTTTTATCAAGTATATGTTGAGAATTGACTTGTACCGACAATAGAACAATGTTTAAGGCAAAAAATACTGCAGTATAAGTCGACACATACTCACATGAGTCGACTCATTTTAGTGACAAAATAGGATATGAGTCGACAAATGGCCTTATGAGTCGATATATACTATTATCCATACCCAAAAATAGAAAGAAAAAAGGTGCATGAGTCGACACAAAACACGAATGTGTCGACACATACAAGAAATGAGTCGACACATACCATTATGCATCAACTCATACTGAGTTGATTTGGTTTTACAGGGACAATAAAATTTATGTGTCGATGCATAGATGCATGTGTCGACACATAATGGTTAAAAAATATTTTTTCCTTTCTTTTACATTGTTTTTATATTTTCTTCATTGCTATTCAATATGGTTGTAATATTTAGGCTTATACTTCATCCCCATTTGTACATTGTACCCCCATCCCCCAAGTTATGTAATAGCTTAGGATTTTAATTTCCACAATTTACCGCTTTAATATAAATTGTTAGTAATTCGGTTGTGTATGGCAAGATAAAATCAACCGCTAGAAAACCATAATCTCAAAGACAAAAATGCATGCAATCAAACGCACTTCACACACGCGCACCTTTAAGTTAATCTCGCTTGTTACCTTGGAAAAATAGTCATGTCCCTCGAATATGGGACATTTTAGGAAAGGCCCTCGATAAAGAGATTGTAGTCCCTTGATGACCCTTCGATGTTGCCTTCGGTAAAATGATCTTAGTCCCTTACGAAAATTGCTAAAGCGTCTCATAAGTTCCTTTCTATGACTATACGACGACCCACACCCTTCCCTTCACATCCAAAGATAGGCTTCTTATCAATCAATGGTAAGGTAGCAATATCTAAAGGATGAGGAAAAGAACAAAGACCTTTTGAGTAGGTAGAATGCTCGTAGTTGCTTACTCACAAACTAAAACCATCTCCACACTCACACTTTCAAAACATCTTCAAAAACAAACATCTCTTTGAACTATTTTCAAAACCAACACTTTGTATACATTCTTATAGAGACGAGAAACATTACAAACTTTGCCGATAAAAAGGCGTTTTCAAATTTTTTTCCAACTTACACCAATCACAAACATATTTCAAATAAAGCATTTTCAAAGTGATCAAGCAACTAAGATCCCGTAGATAACTACGGATGAAAAGGGTGTTAACACCTTCCCTTTTCATAACATACCCCCTGAACTCAAGAAAAATATCTCAAAAGGTTTTTCCTGTTCTTTTCACCCTTTCCTTTAGTGGATAAAAGAAAAGCCGGTGGCGACTCTTGTTATCCATAACAATTATGATAAAACGCAAAACACCCATGTCAGTTCTCCCACCATATTACACATGGTAAAGATTAACTCCCGAAATAATATGGGGAAATTATCTTTCTCTTTATGGTCAGATACATATCAATTCTCGAAACAGGACAGGGCGACTATCTTTATCACCAAAGGTATGAAATCTCAAAACAGGATGGGTTTACCAACAAAGAAGATTGTAGATAAATTCTTGAAACAGGACGGGGTGATTATCTACATGACAAACAGCTACGCAAACACCTTTCCCAGAGGTTCATTCTGGAAAACATTCTTCAGATACAGTCGAGCGTATACTCATTCTGATACTTCTATCAACGGTTACCTTTGGATGGCATCTATAATCCCATCTCCGACGACTTCTATCAACGGTTCTCGGTATAATCAACCAACAATGTTACTTCATGCACAGGCGAGTGCAAATTTCTGGGCACTTAAGTGTTCAATCATCTTCTACCTTCAAGTCACGAATGGCGGACATGCCAATCTAAATCTTCAAGTTTCATAAGATTGAACAGGGGCATCTGTTGTACCCCAAAATTTGTCCTCCCATTTTTCATTCAAGATATTCTCCTAGGATTTCTCAAATGCTTAAGGTGGCTCAAGGATTGATCAGACAAATTCTCCTCCTAAGCATTGGGTCCACAACTAGGGTTTTGTATTTCTCAAACAATATTGAGTTTCCAAGGTCTCAAGTGGATTTCATGGTGCTTCATATGTATTCAAGAATTCTCATATCAAATTTCATGTCTTGCATCACTAGTTCGCTCAGTCAATTGCTCGGACGACCAAAAATCAAATGTATTGGGTAAAAGTCAACATTTTCAAGATCAAGTTCAAACGATCATAACTTATTCATTATTCAATATTTATGAGTGGTTTTGTTTTTGTATGAATCTCCTTTACGTCATCTCTAACTTCTTTTTACAAGTTAAGAGCTAATTATGTGCGAAAGATCATCAAAAATTCGAATACTTTAGAGGTCACTTTTTGGGCTTTGACCTAATTTCAAGTTTTTTTTTGTTACCTGATTTCTAAGGAACTTAAATTCTATAATATTCAGCATTTTGGGACGATTCATTTTTCATGTTGTCATAAGTAATGTAATCTACAAGTTCTCTTCAAGGATCGATGGAAAATTGTGTTTAGAAGACCTTGAAAGTTATCTAATCGTCATAGGTCATTTGCTTGAATTAGAATGTTCTTAACTTCTAATTTCAATTTATGTCATAAGCATTTTCCTAAGACACTTGATAATTCATGAGGAAACAACTTAAGCTTGAAGATTCATTGATCATTTGTTGCTCAAAATTCAAGTCACTTGTGTTTGAGCGTTAATAATTATTGGATTGGATTTTTTTAAAGTTCTTAAGGAATTTAATTTGTTCAAGAATTTGATTTAAGATTGGAAGGTTCGTTGGGTACTAGCATGGAAAAGGTAGTCAAGGCTAACGCCGATGCTTTATGGGCACGCATACAAGAAGGAAATGCAAAGCAAGAGAAACTAGAGCGTGACCATGTGAAGCAAATAACTAATATGATCTCCAATTACATAAAAAAAGATATGTCATCTCTATTGGAGACAATTATCAAGAAGGAAATATTTTCAATTGAAAAAACCATTACTCGTTCACTTAGTCAAAATATAGACAAAGCAATGAATCAACTAGAAAAGTCAGTTAGTTCAAAACTTGAAGCTACAGTGGCTAGGAAGATACAAGTACAATTTCAAACTACTGGCAAGCAGGCTCTTCAGGAAGCACTTAGGACTAGTGTTGAAGCTACATTAGTTCCTGCTTTTGAAAAGTCTTGCAAAGCTATGTTTGAGAAAATTGACGGTACATTTCAAAATGGACTTTTGAACCACATAACTGCTATTCAATAGCAGTATGATTCTACTCATTCTCGGCTATCCATCACTTTGTGGGAAACAATTAACTCAACATCATTCATAATTCAAAAAAATTCCATTCATGTTCCTCTTGTAAAATTACAAGTCACAAAGAAAATTACACAAACTTTTTCTTATCCTAAACTTATGTTCCTTCATGAGTCTTAAGCTTTCATCCACCATTCCTAGACTTTTCCAAACATACTCTGCACCACTACATACTAGCCCACAAACCTGCCGCATCATTCTAAAATTCTGCTCTGCTATAAACTGCTTTAAAACCTGCACCTTCTGTCTAACCTGCACAAAACTTTCAAAACAACCTGCTTCAAAATGCCAAGGATTGCACCAAGATGGCAAGGCAATTCATGCATCCTTAAAGTTACAAAAAACAGAACAACAAAGTGTTCAAACTTATCAATGTTCCCTCCTAAATTTTTAGGAAATTTGGTCTATAAAAAAGAGAGAGAGATTACACGATGGGGAGGACAAATTCTGTAAAGAAGAATACACGAAAAACTCACCAAAACTCAGCATTCTCTCTCTCTAAAAAAACTGCTTCAATCTTCTTCCATAATATCTTCATCTACCTATTTCAAAAACCACAAGAATATCAATATAACAACTTCAAATTGAAAAAAACACAGTAGAGGCACCCGAAAAAAATAACAAAATTGAAAAAAAACACATATGTTCTTCATCGTCAAATTTGTTCATCACCGCCACACTCGACCTCCTTCAGCCTCTTTATTCACCAAACCTACAAAAATGCATCAGTTCCATTCAACACTTGCAAAACCGATTCAAACAGTAATTCAACATAATACGTTCGACATCAATTTGTAGATTCCGACTAGTATCTCTTCTCCTCCATTTTCGCATCTCTATGATTGCTTGTTCTGAGTTAATTGTCACATGAGACTTCTTGTTGTTGTTTATATCGTAATGCTGAGATTGTTGTTGATTTTTTACCTATGAACATGAGCTTGAAACCGAGAATATAGAGCAAGCAAGGTTTTTTTTTTTAATTGCTAGATTATTTTTGAGAGATTGAAACGGTTCAGAACCGAAAGAGAAAGAGATAAAATGATTGAGAGAGTGAGGGAATAGATGGAAAGAGAGATCGATTAAGAAAAAAAAGGATAGAGGAATTTTTTTTATTACACGGAGAGAAGAAGAGAATGATCGTTCTCTTTTGAGAGAGAGAGAGAGAGAGAGAGAGAGAGAGAGTTTTTGTTTTAATTTCTTTTGTTTTAATTGAGTATTTTTCTGGGAGAATTAAAACAAAATTAATTGAAAATTAAAGACAAATTATTTCCTTCTTCCCAATAAACACCCAACGGCGCCTCATTCCTTACAATTAGGGTTTCATAACAAACCCTCTCTATTCCCTCTAGTTGGATCCGGATTGGGTCTGTTTTGTTTAGTCCAATCCAATTTTTAAACTTCAGTTTTTGTATTAATGGAAGAGCCATGATACACGAATGGATAGATGGCGTAGCGGTTAGAGCGTGTGTGTGATGTGCGTGACGTCCTTGGTTTGAGACCCCCTGGGACTTTTTTTCTTTCATTTTTTATGTTTTCTCATTAACCCCCCCCCCCCCCCCCCCCCCCCCCCACATTTATTTTTGTATTCTTTTGGACAAATAAATGTGCCTCGGCGCCCCATTATTTCAAAACCCACACCATCTTCTAGATCGACACTCCTTGGGTTCTTCATTTAAATTTTTTATTTATTTTGATTTCTATTTTTTATTTATTTTGTTTTAATATTCCATAGCATGATAAAATAATAATTTTAGAATTTTTATTTAATTTTCTTTTAATATTTATTACTTCTTTACATAAACAAATTACAAAACATTAGAGTAGATTCGAATTAGGATTTCATTTCCTTTTAACTTTTAATTTCTTTTCGTAAAAAAAACAATAAAAATATAAAAATACAAAAAAATTATTTCATTATTTTTATTAAAATAACCAAATTTTATAAGGGTACTTAATTTTATTAGCTTTAGTAAATAATTCATTTAGTAATATAATTAAGTTAGTTAGGGTAATCACTAATCACTAACTTTATTCATACTCTAATTATCTCCGATGCAATCTCGTTATCTCGTAAATAATTCACAATACATTGTACATAATTTATTATGTCACTAACGAAACAAAAATATCAAAAATATTATTTAGAATTCTTGAATCTCCGTTCATAGCTTTTATTTGATTTAATTTCCTTACTTAATGAAATTGTTAAACAATTTCCCTTTTCTTTCTATTTTTGTATAATTTACTATTTTTGCATTTTTCTGATTATTGTAAATATTTATGGTTTCTAATAGTTTAACTAGGTTTTTTACTTCGTCATCCCCATTCATTAATTTGTACCCTCATTCCCAAAGTATTGTAATAGCGTAAATTTTATTTCCCACACTTTAACTTCCGCACCTATAACTATGTCTGTACGTATATATAATTGTATAGTAATTAGGTGTGTATGGTAAGACATAAAACCGACCGCTAGATAACCATAAATCCAAGATAAATTAACCGAAATCAAAACACTTTGCACATGTGCATCTCTAGGGTAACCTCACTTCTTGCCTTCGGATAAAATATTCATGTCCCTCGAACGTGGAACGCTTTAGCAAAGACCCTCAGTTAAAAGATCGTAGTCCCTCGATGACCCTTCGATGTTGCCTTCGGTAAAAGATCTTAGTCCCTTATGACAAATTGCTAAAGCTCCCTACGAGTTATCTTTATGATTGTACGATGACCCGTGCCTGTACCTCACCTCCTATGATAGGGCTTCCCACTAACTAATGGTAGGATATAACTATCTAAAGGAGGAAGAAAATAAAAAAGACTTTTGAGTAGGTAGATAGCTCGTAATTGCTTGCTCACACAAAAACAAAACATCTTTTTAACACAAACCCTTTTCTAAAATATTTTCAAAACAAAAACTTTGTATGCGTTCTCAACGTTAGGAGAATCATTACAAACTTTGTCGAACTAAGGCATTTTCAAAATATTTTCAAACACATATTCACAAAGCATTTTTAAAAAGTGAGCTAGCGATTAAGAGCCCGTAGATAAATATGGATTAAAAGGGTGCTAACACCTTCCCTTTTCATAATCTACCCCCCAAACTCAGATAAATCTCAAAGGTCTTTCCTGTTCTTTTAACCCTTTCCTTTTATCAGATAAAAGAAAAGTCGGTGACGACTCTTGCTATCCGCAACATTTATGATAAAACACAAAACCAAAAGTCAGTTCTCCCACCGTATAACATGTGTGAATTATCGATTTTATGTTATTCATTCTTTAGGTCGTAATGAATACATAAATCTATTCTCGTGTTTTCTATCCTTTAGTTCGTGATAAACACACAAACTTTTCAATTATCTATCCTCTAGGTTGTGGTAGGTATGCAGATTTTAAGGATTATACTATTCATCCTCTAGGTCGTGATGAATACATAAGCCTGTCCCTGCATCATTTATCCTCTAGGTCGTGATAAATGCACATGATAATATTTGTTTTGTTTATTCTCTAGGTTGTAGTAAACATATGAAATCTGCGATATAATTCATTATGTTAGTCTCCATGCAGCAATGTATTATCAAGCTCTATTTTATTCGTCCCTTAGGCTGCGATGAATAGACAAAAATCTATGTTTCAAAAACTTACTATGTTAGTGTTGTACCCCAAAATTTGCCCTCTCATTTCATCAACACTTTCTCACCACAAGACTCTTGGAACTCAAGATCAAGTTAGGGTTTGCTCTGCTCAAGACCCATCCTTGCACTGTTGACCCAAATTAGGGCTTGAGTTTGCACAGGGATGTTTTGACCTAAAAGGCCCAAAATGACTTTCATGCTTCATGTTGGACTTACAAGTTTATCCATACCAAGTTTCAAGCCTTGATTCCAATCTTTGCCCATTCAATTGGACAGTTGACCTAGAAATTAGCTGTATTGGGGAAAAAGTCAACTGTGGCAAATTGACAGTCAAACTTCATGAAATTTGACCCACATCAACATAATGAACTCACATGAACCATTTGGTCATGTTTGGATCACAATTCCACAAGAAATTTGATCAGATCACCAAAAGGGCAAAATGGTCATTGTTAGGGTTTTGACTGCACAAAGGCAATTTTTGACTGTTTGACCTAACCAATGGCAAACCAAGATCATATATGGACTCAAGGACTCAATGGCATTTTCTTGACCCATTCAACAAGTTCAAAAGATCTCAAATGTATAGGATTGACAGATGAATTTTTCAGTCAACTGATCAAAATTTGACTGTACACTGAAAAGTCAAACTTTGACTTTTTGGTCAAAATCAAGTGCCACGATTCATTTTTCATCAAGACATGTCAAATTATGAAACTTGTTCATCAAGAAATCCAAAATTGCAAATTAGGGTTTAAAATGAGAAAATTTCATAACTTAGAATTTTTCTAAGTTATGAAATTTCCTTATTTTTTTTCTAACTTTGTCCCATTTTTTCACCAAGATGCAATTGGATTCAAACAAAACTTGAAACATGAAAGTTGTATTCCATTGCAAATTCTACAACTTTGATTCACAAAGTTTTCTCAAAGGAAGCTTGTATCTCAAGTTATGATTTTTGGAACAAGGGTACAAAACATTTTTAACTTAGAGAAATTTTGCCCTATTCTAGGCAGGATTTTTGTCCAACTTCTTGGCCATTTTTCACATGGTTCCACTTGGAGTTTCAATTTGCATTATAAAGATGGATTATATTACACATTCCAAGCTTTCCAAATTGTCCAAGAACTTCTCAAACACCCTTGTGGTTAGAGAGAATCGAATTTGCAAAGTTGGCAAAAACTCACTTTTGTTCATGGCCAAAGCATGTTCATAACAATTGCATTTTTCAAATCAGCATGGTTTATGCTATCTTTCAGGCCTCTAAACCTCTTTACACTCAATAATTTAATTCCTAACCATTTTGTTAAGGCA